ACACTCCCACACACCCACACACCCACACACCCACACACCCACCCACACCCACACCCACACCCACACCCACACCCACACCCACACCCACACCCACACCCACAACCACACCCACAACCACAACCACACGCACACGCACACGCCCACGCGCACACGCACATGCGCACATGCGCACATGCGCACATGCACGCGCACATGCGCACACGCACACGCACATGCACACACGCAAACACTCAAACACACAAACACCCAAACACACACACACAAACACACACACACACATATACATACATACATACATACATACATACATACATACATACATACATACATACATACATACATACATACATACATACATACATACATACACACACACAAACGCACACGCACACGCACACGCACACACACACAGACAGACAGACAGACAGACAGAGAGACAGAGAGACGGACGAACAAACAACAAGCAAACAAACAACCAGCCAAACAAACAACCAAGCAAGCAAGCAAACACACAGAACCAACAAACAAACCAACCAAACCAAACCAAACCAAACCAAACCAACAAAACAAAACAAACAAAACAAACAACCACACAACCAATTTGCCAACCAAACAAGCACCCGAGCAGACAAACATACAGACAAACAACACACACAGACACACACACACACACACACACGTTATTTTGTGTCGCTTAGTTTCTAGCTTGCCTGCAGATGCCTAAGCCCCAACCCAGCTCAGCGTCCTTGGCAGCAGCGAAAGGTCCGGATGCGCAGATCTAAGCGCCGATGGAGGCGATCCCGACCAGGCAGGAGACTTTGCCGACGATGACAATCCCAACTTAGCAGGGCAGTCGGGTCTACCGCGAAGTCAGCAGTGCAGCCAGACGGCCTAGAGACCTAAGGGTAGCCTGCAAATCATCAGATGCCACTAACTTCTTATAGTCTTATAGAGGCAGGCTGCGAACACATTCGCCACGGCCGACGGGGTGAAGTCGGATTGGAAATTGGCCGCCTCGATTCTCGCACACATGTTGCCAGCAGGCAGAGCCCGCCCTAAGGCCCCAATCCCAACTTTTGCACATGGCACGACCAAAACTCTTGAGCTGCTGCTTGATTCTCTGATGCCCTCTTGGCCGCGGGCGTGCAATGCGATGGAGCCGGGATGTCGGGAACCCCTGGCAGCCAGGAGCTCTTCCCTGCTACATGCCGCTCTAGACACTCTACACATCTCTCTGGACGCCTTTTGTTCCTAGATCGTCTCACTCCCCGGCTCCTGCCTTGTTGACGAGGAGGGTCCTGGTGTGGTGGATCCCGAAGCAGGGGCTGCTAGGCCAAGTTGTGCGAGAGATTGTGGGAACACGGGAGATCCCAGGCTGCCAAAGCTCAAAGCTGAAGCGAAAGCCCCCGGCCGAGCGGAGACTCGCAGCAGAATCAGTGCATCCGGCTGCAGCAAATCCAAAGCTGACGAGACAAAGCCCGTGCAGGACGAGCCAGTCAAGGACATTGGGACTTCCACCCGGGAAGACGTCCTCGACAGCAAGGCTGGTCCCAATTTCGCCATGCCCAGGGCCGGCGAGGACAGGTCCGCTCAAGCAAGGCTTTGCGGCAAAGGGAAGGATCCAAAATGCGCTCCGGCTCCACCGAAAGCAAGCAATGCTACGCCAAGCCTACTGAAGCCAAAGGCAGCCGCCAAGATGCCAAGACACTGAAGCGATCGCGAGGACAGCAGAAGCCCTAACCTCTCAGAGCCGGAGGCAAAGGCTGCAAGGCCAGGACGGCCGGGGCTTCGCAGCGGCAAAGGGCTGCCGATTCCCACCATCTTCACAGCAGGAGTCGAGGGCTCGAGTCTAGAAAAGGATCGCAATGACAGCAGGCTGTGCAGATGCGACGCGTCCAAAGCAGGGGGGAAGGGTCCCGGTCTGCTAGCACCCGTCATGGAGTGGCCAAACCCCAGTCATGCAAATTGCCTCAGAGGCGTCGGGGATCCTGGGGCGGCCGCTGCAAGAATTGATGTGGAGAAACCTGGTCAAGCAAGGCTGTGCAAGGAAACGGGGAAGCCGATTTTCACCTCGTCCGAGGTAGATGAGATCAACCCAAGACAAGACCAGCTGAAGGTTAGCGCTGGCGCTCCCAACCTAGCACATGCTCGGGGCGACGGCGGCGATTCCAACTCGGAGGCCCTGGAAGCAAAGGCTGCCAGGCCAAGGTGATGAAAGCTTCTTAGAAGCAGAAAAGATCCAATCGCCGAGCTCCGAAGGACCGAAAGAGCTGGCCCGATGCAAGAGGGTGATTGTAAAGGCAGGGAAGCATCGGGACGAGCCTCTGACAGAAGAGGGATGGTTGGTTCCATGCAAGCCACGCTAAGAGCTGAAGTCACGAGGCCTGGTCTTGAGAGAGCCCGCAACAGCACCAAGGACTCCAAGTGAGCAAATTGGCAAGCGGGCGCTGTGAAGCCTGCGCGAGCGATCGATCGAGTAGAAGGTGACGGCTCCAGGTGCAAATGGTCCGATGCTGGCAAAACGAAGCCAAATCGAGTTGCAGCCAAGTGGAATGCTGCTGGGCCAAGGTGCACTGATGACCTTAGCAATGAAGATGGCTCGAGCTGTGTAGCCATGAACACCAACGCGCTGGTTCCTGGATGCGCGAAAGATTGCAGAATCAGAAGTGCATCAATCCAGGAGAAAGTCATCACTAGCACAGCAAGGGCCAGCTGCGAGGAAGACCGAAGTAGCGCAGGAAATCCCAAGTGAGCAGCCGCGAGGACCGGCAGAACACTCCCACCGCAGCCTGCGAACGCCGGCGGCAACGGCCCGATCCTGCAGAATGCTCGGAGAGGCGCAGAGCTTTCAGCATGGCTGAGGCTTAGCACGAAGTATGCGGGACCGATGCAAGCAAGGGAGCGCGAAGACGTAAAGAGATCAGAGTGAGCGCTGCCTGGAACCAGAGTGGGGAAACCGATGCAGGCCAGACCGGAAACAAAAGCTGTTGGATCGGCTTGTGAGAATTGCTGCGAGGACAGGGATGGGTCAATGCGATCAGCAGAGTATACAGAAGGAGGGAAGCCACAGCGAGCAAAGGATTGAAGGAGCAAGAAAGATCCAAGGCTACTGCTTCTCAAAATCAGCAAAGGACTGTCAAAACACGCGAAACTCCGCAGCAACGTCGAGAAGTCCATTGCCGCGGCTCCTGAGACAGATAGTGGAGAGTCTGGCCTTGACAACCCGGACAGGAACGCCGTAACTGCTGAATGCTGGAGGCTTCGCAGGAACATGAAAAGGTCGGTATAAGCAGATGTCAGCACAAAAGCCGGAAAGCCCGGCTTGCCGACCGATCTTGCAAACACTGGCGGGCCCACGAAAGTGGAGTCAAGCGCTGCAGAGGCGGAGTCTGGTCGGCTGAAGCTGCGCAAAGGGGTTGTCAAGTCTGAAGTTCCAACTCCAAGCAGAGGCACCATGAATTCCGTACGGAGGCTGCCACATACTGGTACAGCCAAACCCAGACACTGAGGGCTTCTCAAGAGCATCAGAAAGCCTATGCGACTGGCGGCAGTAACCGACAGGGCCAGCTCCAGGTGAGCAGGGCTTCTTGGCAGCAACGGCGATTCCATGGCAGCGGAATCGGCGACAAACGCGAGAGGCTCGGGCCTTGAAGAGCCAGGTGCAAAAGCAGCCGGGTCGGTGCAGGCAAAATTCCGTGATAGCACGGAAGGGCCGACGTCGGCGAAGCGGGAGACCAAAGGCGGAAGTTCTGCACACGCAAAGGATCTCAAAGCAGGGAAGAAACCCAGATGAGCGCATCTAAGTGCCAACGCAGCTAAGTCAGCGTGCATCAACGATCTCAAGGAAATCGAGAATCCCAGCGGCACCGCCTGCGAAACCGAAAGGAAGGGTCCTGGGCAGAATGAGCCACTCAAAGGTGCAGCAAAGCCCAACCTAGCCATTGACTTCGATGCCAGCAATGCTCCCAAACTCGTGAAGCCAAACACAAGAGCACTGGAGCCCAAGCGGCTAAGGCTGCGAGGCAACAGCAAAACTCCCAGGAGGCATCTTTCTGCTACTGACAGAGAGAAACATGGGCCGAGGCGACTGCAGCCCACCACCGGAAGCAGCAGGCCCGGATGAGAGAGACTTCTCAATAGCACTGATGGGCCTAGCTCCCCGAACTGCAGGAGGAGCAGGGGAAAGCCAGTGCATGCGTGAGAGTGTAGAAACGATGATGAACCCAAAAACAGACAGTCCGAGACTGACAAAACTGAGCCGCCCCTTGACATACCAGCCAAAAGTACCAACACACCCACGCAAGCAAGGTGGTGCAGAGGCAGTGACAGATCTGGCTGGGTGGCACAGGGAACTGAGACAAAGAAGCCCATTCACGCAGGGCTTCGTAAGAACACGGAGGCACCTAAGCCAGCTGCACCCAGGACGCTCAAAGTGGTGCCTGGGTATCCAAGGCTCTGCAGCAACGAGATAGAGCCTGTGCCACCACCTGAAAGAACTGGCAAAGCTGGTTCCAGCCACACGAAAGATCGCGCCAAAGCCGGGGCTTCCGCATGTGCACAAGCCAGTGGCGGGACTGAGGATTCGAGGCAAGACGCACCGGAGGCAGACGCTGAAAGGTCGAGATGAGAGAAGGACTGCAGCAGGACGGGCAAACCAACTCTTGATGCGAAAGTCACGAATACTGGAACATCCAGTCTCGCCCGGGAACGTGGAGGTATTGGAAAATCTGGTCGCAATGGGTCCAGGACCAGCGAAGAGGAGCCATATCGCGAAAGGCCAGAGGTTGAGGGTGATGCACTCATGTGACCAAATGACTGCGAAGGCGACAAGGGCCCCAGCTTAGAGAATCGGAGCGCCGAAGGAGAAAAGTCACCGCGTGCAAGAGATCGGAGCAACGAAGGAGACTCAAGGATGCTGCCATCCAAAGCTGACGAGCTAAAACCAAGTCGAGCTTTGCCAAAGACTGGAACCGAGGCTTCGGGGCATGCGAGGACCTGTAAGGGAGCGACAAAGCCCAGTTTCTCGTAGTTTGACGCTGAGGCTGCAGCACCGACCCGGCCAGGTGAACGGATTGGCAGTGGCAAGCCCGAATGTGCAAAAGCTGAGGCGAAGGGAGCCAGGCCCACACAGGAGGCGCCTTAGGTGCGGTCGACGGTCTCTCTCCCTCTCTGTCTGTCCCTCTCTCTCTCTCTCCCCTCCAATCAACCTAGAATCCTACCATCGCCAGTTTCGAGCCTCAACTCTTTCTCTGCAAACGAGAAGCTTCGCGGAGGCGGCGGCGGCCCAAGATGCGAAAAGCCCGGCACCGGTGGAAGTGGTCCGGAGATTGCTCTTCCAGCAAGAAGCACAAGAAATCCCACTTGCGACAGAGTCCGCAAGGGCGTGGACGCACCTGTCCTGAACACAGATCATCATGTAGGCTCCCCTGACCTCGCGAGCTGAAACTAAAGAACCCCTCTGGTCCTGCTGGCGCCAAAGGCGGGTGAGCTCGATCCAATTTTTGAGAAGCTTCGCAACGATGCCGCGGGCCCTGCCGGGGATTGGTGACTGGGCCGCAACTTACTTTAGCGGATTCCCAATCTCCCTGCCTTGCTTGGAAAGGTCTGGGACGAGTGTTGTGAATCCCGTTCGTGCTGAGCCGCAAACTGGCGCAGGTAGTTCCAGTCAGGAGGAGGTACGCGATGACGCCGCAGAGCCCAACCGTGACGCACCCCTTGGGGCAGGCGGCCGCTTCTCCGAACATGTGCTTGCTGGTTCCGAACCATAAACGAGAATGAGCTCAACCAGTGAACTAGTGGGCTAGCTGAAGACAAGCATCCATGCCACCAAAGCCAGATCAATCCACCCAGAGCTTCTGAGCAACATCGTGAAGCCGATGTGTACAGAGTTCAGTACCAAAGCAACAAGTCCTGTCGGCAGCTCTGCTTTCAGCTTGGGACCCCGAAAGTCTGGTCAGAACTTGAACTTAGTATGTCAGGTGGTAGGTCTGCAGCAAAAGAAGATCTTGTCTAAACAACTCCTCGCTCGCAGCTAAACGTGAACCTTCGCGATCTGGGTAATGGTGCCAACAGCCCGGTCACACGGCTCCTGCTTTCGCACAGCTCCGCAGAAGTGGTGGAGGACCCGTCTGAACCACGCCTGCTCAGGTTCGCCAAGATTTGCAGTGAAAAACGACAGTCGTCAGTCACTGGCCGTCTACATCCGGATGTCTCGCTTTTCCAGCCTGAAGCTGAGAGTGAAGACCCTGATCGGAGCAAACCCAGCAGAAGCGAACTGCTTCCGGCCCAACCGGAATTTTGCAACCTGCGCAGGGGTCCAATCTAGGCATGCCGGGAGTCTAAGTTAAGTCTAAGCTGATCCAGCAGTGTCACGCAAGAACCCTCCATGTCACCTGCAAAGTGCAGCCAAGTTGCGGCAGAGAGAAGCCGGATGTGGCGGTTTTCAGCGGCAGGGTCGGTGACCCTAGCCACGCGTTGCTTCGGAGAGGAAGCGGAGCGTCAGGGTTTAAAGTACTTGCGACGGACAGGGCAAACACGAAATCGATCCGCGCCAAGCTGACGAGCGACGCAGAGGACCCACAGCAGGCGCGAGACCTCGACAGCGGAATCGGACCCGATTTCGCGGAGCTTGGTGCAGCTGCAGCCATGCCGGGTTGAGCGAAGCTCCGCAAGGACAAGGCGAGTCCGGTATGCGTTGGGCCTGATGTCGGTGGCTCAGCCCCCATGCAAGCAACACCAATTGCCAACACCGGAGCGCCCAAACACGAGAGGGCATGCAGTGGCAGCAAGAAGCCCGCATCGGAAGCCAAAAAGGCTGATACTGGAAGATCAAGCCGGGAGAGGCTCCTAGGTAACAATGATGAGTCTGAGCATGAGGCACGGCAGGTAAAGACAGCCAGGCCCACATAGGAAAAGCTTCGTAGAGACATTGCCAAGTCCAAGGAGGCTCTCTCAAGCAAGAAAGCTGAACTTCCAACGTGCAGAAAGCTTCGCATAGACACGGATGGCTCTGCAAAGCAGCTGTCCGGCACAAAAAGTCTTGAGCCCGAGCAGCCCATGCCGGAAACGGGTGCCATGGAACCCACCCAGGCGAGGCTCCGCAATGACGAGGGCAAGCCGGCCTCAGCGGAGCGAGGCGCTGACGTAGAGGAGCCTGCTTGGCTTGAGCTTCTGAGGAAGGGAAAGGAACCGAGGCGTGTGAGGCCTGGGACCGGAGGTGACGGATCAGGGCACCCCGAGCCCAAGGCCAGCAAGAAAGTTGCAGCGCAGGAAAAGCACCTCAATGACAGAAATGGGCCGGGGCCCGAAGACCAAGATGCCGACGCTGCTGCACCCAGGCGTGCAAGAGATCGCGAAGATGTGGACGAACCAAGGTGCACCCGGCTAAGAACAAGGATTGAGATGCTTGTGCAGCTGAGCGATCGCGAAGGCAAGAAGAAGCCAACAAGAACAGAGTCGACGAGAAGGGTTGCGGGGCCGGGACACACCAAGCCACACAGAAGCACCAAGAGCTCTGATCTGGCAGAACCCCGAAGGGCCAGTGGACTGCCGGGCCTTTCAGTTCCAGAAGCCAATGCAAAGAGGCCAATGCGCCCGAAACTATGCGAGGGCATCAGAGATTCAGGACTTGCCAAGCTCGCCACTGGCACGGCGAACACGGGCCCGAGCCGAGCCAGACCAGAGGCTGACGCCATTTCTCCAGGGCACGACATGCTCCGGACAGGAAGGGCCGGCTCCAGGTGGCTCGAGCGCAAAATCGGAAGTGGGACTTCCGGTCGCGCAGAGGACCGCGACGGCGAAGCTGAGCCGGCCGAAGCAAGGCCAAGGGCTGGCAAGAAAGAGCCTGAGCGTGTGGCGCTTGCAGTGGAGGGAGTTAGACCCGGACAGGAAAGGCATCGCAAAGCTGTGAAGGATCCAAGCTGCGTGCACATCAATACAAAGAACTTGGGACCAGGTCTCGAGAGGCTTCGTATCAACACCGCGCTCCCCATGTGGACGTCGTCCAGGACCGGAAACGCGGGATCAGCCCTGGCATTCCCCAATACCGACACAGCAAGGCCGGTATGGATGAGGTTTCGCAAGAGGAGGCTCGGGCCGAGATCCGCGAAAGAAAGGACGGGCATGGGCAAGGCCAGTCGCCCGAAGCTTCGTAGGGAAAGGGAAGAGTTTATGAGGCACTCCCCGATCACGGAGAGCTGCCCAGTGCAGCCGGCATGGAGAACACCTTTAGCAACCGTCGGAAGGCCCAGCCGGCCAGAGCTCCTTGCTGACAGAAGCAGCCCGGTGTGACTGAAACCGGATGCCAAGAGAGAGACACCTGGTTGAGCAGAGGCTTGTGAGGGAAGAGGAAGTTCAAGCTGAGCACAAGAGAGACTCGGCGGGGGCGATCCAAGCCGTCCGAGTCCGAAGAGAAATGCCGTGCTGCTTGACCGCACGAGGCTGCGAAGTGAAGGGATTGATCCTGGTCTTTCATGGTGCACAACCAATGCAACGGAGTCTATGTGAGCGAAGGAGCGTGGAGGAAGGAATGCATCCGGGCTCGAAGTGGCTGCTGCCGACAATGAGGAAACGGATGCTGCACAGGTGATGCCCAAGGCTGAGGCTGAGAAGCCTAGATGGGCAGAGTTCCGCAGCAACGTCAGGCTTCCGATGCAATGAGAGCAAAACGCAAGGGGCGCGCTGCCTGACCAAGTGAAGCTCCTGAGAGACATCAGCAACCCCAAGTCAGCGCTGCCCATGACAGATGCAAGTGGCCCCGCCTTGGAAAAGCTTCTGGGCAGTGGCATCGATGCAGATTTTGAGCAGTCCAGAACTGGCAATGCGGTGTCCGTTTGTCCCAAGAAACTCGCTGGCACGGGGAAGCCAGGGTAGGCAAGTTGCTGCAGCAACAGCAATGCTCCTGTTGCTGCGGGCCCAAGTGCAGAGGGGGACAGACCCGGTCAGCCGCGGCTTCGAAGTGCAACAGAGATTCCCAAACTGGACCGACCCAGCACTGGGAGAGCAAGTTCTGGTCGGGACATACCCAGGATGGGCACGGAAGCGCCCGAACGGGCAGAGGATTGGAGTGACATTGACAACTCCAAGTGGGTTTCTCTTAGGATTGATGCTGCAGGCCCCAAGCATGCAGATGTCCTTAAGAGAAGTAACGATTCCAGTTGAGAGGATTCAATCACCAGCAGCACAAACACAGAGCCCGAGCACGTCGCACCAATGACGGGCACGGAGGCTGACAGCTGGCCAAAGCTGCGCAGGGGCAGTGAGGACCCCATGTGTGCGAATCTCAAGGCCGGCAGAGCTGCGCCAAGCTATGCGAAAGACCGTAGGAAGGCTGGGAAGTCTGCATTGCTGCCGCCCAGGACCAACGGGGTCGACTCCAAGCGAGCCAAACCGCAAGCCGGCACTGTGAGACCAACACACTGAAAGCCTCGAGGAGGTGCAACAAAGCCGACATGCGCGAAAGCAGAAACCACCACTGCAGGATCAGGCCTTACCGGCGACTGCAGAAACAGGAAAACACCCAGACTAACCCGTTCTACGGCCAGTGGCGAGAAACAAAGGCCTAGCCGTGACAATCCCGTGGCAAGAGTGACTGGGCCGGGACAACTGGACGTTTGCAGTGCAACAGAAGCATCGACATGCGCAAACGCCGACACGAAAGCCGCAAGTCCCATCCGACCACGGCTACGCGACAATGAGAGAGGATCGAGTTGCACCTTTCCTGGCACTGAAGGTGCAAGGCCAGCTCGAGCAATGTTCCATGCAGGAGTGCTGGCGCCTGAACAACTAGGCCTGCGGAGTGCCACTGGCATGTCCAATTCAGTGGGGCCTGGCAGGGGCACCAAAACATCAATTTGGCCGGGACTGTGAGGGAAGGGCGAGGGTCCCAGGTGAAGGCCTCCCACCACAGGCAGGGAGGACACAAGGCCTGGCCGTGACATCCCCACCATTGGCAGAAAGCTATCGGCATAAGACATTGCTTGCAGGAGCATGAAAGATCCCGATGCGGCGGAGGCGAGGACAGGAAGGAGTAAGCCAAGACATGCCATAGATCTCAATGACAGCAAGAAGTCCAAGCACAAAGAATCAGCGGTTGACAAGAGAAGGCCCAGTTGAGCATAGCTTTGAGGAAACGGCAAAGGATCGAGCTGCAGCAGATCTATGACTAACGGAAAGGAGACGAAGCCTGCTTTGCTTGAACCACTCAGCGGCACCGGAGCTCCCAACTTTGAAGAGCATCGCAAAAATAGGAAAAACTCTGGCTCGGCGAAGCTGAGGGTCGGCGCTGCAGCTCCCGACTGTCCGAGGGATCTAAGAGGCGCGAGTGCCTCCAACTTCGCAAATCTCAGAGCAAGCACCGCAGAGCCGAAGCAAGCGCGGCTTCTGGGAGGTGGACTCGGGCCAAGGTAGGTTTTGTCAGCCACGAAGGGCAAGAACACAAGTCCGGCGCACGCGGTGCCCCACGGAGAAGCCAAGGAGTCTGAGCGAGCGGAGCTTCTGGGGGAAATCGCAGTACCTGTCTTAGAGCAGGCACATATGAACGAGCTGAAGCCTGAGCGGGCGAAATGCCTCGCAGGCGTGGATAGCCCTGGATGAGCAGGGTTCAACACCGACGAGGATGGATCATGGCAGGAGGAGCTTCTGAGAGATGGCAGCAGGTCCAGGTGCATTGCATCTGCCACGAGCAGAAGGAAGACCGAGCCCGTGCAAGCGATGCCGGTGGCAAGCACCAGGGATTCTACGCAAGCAGACGCTCTCAAGGACGTGGAGCTGTCTAACTTTGCAAGCTCAGCTGTCAACATCACAGCATCAGCGCACAGGAGGCTCCTGGGGAACAGAGAAAGCCCAAGATTCCCCGTACCCGGAGCCGGCAGCAGAAAACCCAAGTGGCTCGTCATGGAGGCCGGCGCAGCTGGATCTGGATGCGCAGGACTGCGTGGAGGAGGTGGCAAGTCGGGTCTGAAAGTCCTGAAGGCCAACACGGCTGGGTCTGGACAAGCAGAGCTGCGGGTGAGCAGCGGTGGCTCCAAATGTGAAGCCTCTATCACAGAGAGTGAGAAGACCAATTCAGCGCAAGCTAGGCCAAATAACGATGCTGTGCTTCCCATTCAGCCAAGGTTGTGTGAAGACATCTGGACATCTGAATGTGAGAAGGCCGTGGCTGGTGCAATGACACCTGGCCACGAGAAGCTTCGGGTCAGCAGAGACAAGTCAAGGCAGTTAGCTTCGGCAACCGAAGGCGAGGAGATTAGACCAAGCCGCGCGTTTCCCGGCGCGGGCACCGTGAAGCCAAGCTTTGAGAGGCTATGGAGAGCCGGTGGAAGGCCTGAGCCAGACAAGCCAAGTGCTGAAACCAAGCTGCCCGCGCGACCACGGCTTTGCGGCAACAGCAAGAACTCAGGGTGAACTGCGTCAGCCGCCGACGATGAGGAGCAGGAGCCGACTCGGGTCATTCCCGGTACAAGCGCGATGAAACCAAGTTGAAGAAGTGACCGTAGAGAAAGCATACTGCCACAGGAGCTGAGGCCGGATGCGAAGAGAGCAAGGCCCGGGCAGCCGGAAGATCGAAGCAAAGTCGGGAAACCCAGGCTTTTGCTACCCAGAGCAGCTGGCAAAGGCCCTGGCCGAGCGCAGCTGGACACCAGAACGAAAAAGCCGGGACGTGAGAGCGCGCGAGGGAACAGGAAAACTTCTAGATGGCAGAATCCGCAGGCGGGTAAGGATGCTCCTACCCTTGAGGAGCTTCGCAAGGAAGGGACACTTCCGAGGTGGTTGAACTCTGCCACCGGCAGGGAGGAGATGAAGCCAACCCATGAAAGGCCAGAGAGTAAGACTGTCGAACCAGACCCTGCCATTTGCCGCAGCGAGGGCGTGGAATCGACGTGTGAAGAGGCAGGAACAAACACTACGAGGTCTGCATAGCTAGAGCTTTGAAGAAACAATGCAGACTCTGTGTCACACTTGCCCGGCACCAGGATTGAGACCTCCGGTCGTGAGACACAGCATGGTAATGCCAGGAGTCCAGGATATGCGAAGCTTCGCGACGAGAGTGATGATTCCGAATGAGTCATTTGGGGAGCTGCTGGGGACAGGCCTGCGCGGGCCGAGGACCGCAGCAGCAAGCTTGGCCCGGGACTTGCGGAGCTGACTACGAACAGAACGAAGAGTGGTCCCAGTCGGCACATACCAAAGGCCAGCAGAACGGCTTCGGCCCGAGACAATTGCCGCGACAAAATGGGAAGGCCCGGTTGCAAGATGTCAGAAACCGGCAGAAGGCTGGCGAGGCAGGAAAGGCTCCTAAGTGGCGGCGGAAAGCCCAGAGTAGCTTTTTCAGTCACAGGCAGCACGGAAACGGGGCCTGCTCTGACACATCCACAGGCAGGTGCTGCACTTCCCAGTCGAAGAAAGGATCTCAGAGGCATGGAACTCTCTGTCTTTGCGGTGTCCACGGCCAGGATCGAGAATCCAAGTCAGGCAAGCTTTTGCATGGGCAGCAAACTGTCGAGAGTTGCAAAGCCCAGTGCCAACATCACCGAACCGAGACGACACTGGCCTGCCGGGGAAGCCGCGCTTCCAAGCCGGGCAAGGTTTTGAAGGAGAGTCGGAAGGCCAATTTGCATGGAACCCGACACGGAAAGAGCGGTGTCAGCGCGGGCGGACTCATGTACAAGCAGGGAAGCACCAAGGGAGCCACGGTCTGTCACTGACAGCTTAAAGACGGACCCTGATCAAGCTGCGCCGAATGTAAAGGCCATCGACTCGAGGCAAGCACGAACTCTCATCGGAACGACTGGGCCGACTGAACTGGCAGACAAGACGAGCAAGGTACTTCCCAGCTTTGTGGAACTTCTTGGAAACAGCGAAACTTCCAAGTGCACGGAACTTGCGACAGAGAGCAAGAAAACAAAGCCAACCCGAGTGATGCCAACCAGCACTGCCGAGGGTCCCACCTGAGCAGCTCTGCGCAGCAGTGGGGTGCTGCCCACATGCCCGAGTTTCGCTACAGGCAGTAGTGCTTCCGGTCATGTAAGGCTCTTCGATGGCAAGGCTAGACCGAGTCCAGAGCCACCTGACACAAGCAAGCTTAACCCAGGCCGAGCCAAAGAGAAGACCGAGGTCGGGAGGTCCACACGCGCCGGGCCTCTTAGGGGGAGAGTGGAATCGACTGAAGCGCGGAGGGCAACGGATGCCGGGAAGCCCAGGCGAGCAAAGGATCGGAGCGGAATCTGCAAGCCAAAGTTGATGTAATCCGCGATGGACACCGTCTCGGCGTAGTTCAGCTTGACAAAGCCGAAGACCGGCAGGTTGGGACCGAATCGGCCAACTGCACGCAGTGACAGGCATGAGCCAGATTTACCAAAGTCCAGCGCCAAAACTCGCAAGCCCAGAAGAAGGCGGCTTTGGGTCGAAAGCGGCGGCCCAAGTTGAGCTCTATCTGCGGCCGGCAGCTTGAAGACGGATCCCAGACAGCTCAGACCGAAGACAGACGCGAGAAGGCCCGTGCAAGCCATGCAACGAGGAGATAATGAAAGTCCGACCTGTTGAGAGTCCGAGGGTGGTGATGCAAAACCAAGGCACACTAAGCTGCGTGCGGAAATGGCGAGGCCCAGGTTCACTGCGTCCAGTGCCACAAGCCGCACCCCCGGACGCGCAGTGGAGAAGACTGAAGATGCAGGGCCCAGCCGAGCCAATCTTTGCGATGGAGGTGACGGGCCAGTACGCGCGTGGTTAAATGCAGACGAAACTGGTCCTGGTCATGCAGGCGAATGTGGCAACATTGAAGGCTCAAGCGTTGAGAAACCAAGCACGGATACCACAGCATCCACGCAAGAAGAGCTTCGCACTGACAACGGAACATCGAACTGACTCACGTCGATAAGTGACAGAGAAAAACAGCTTTCCAGACAGGCTAGCCCGGATGCCAGGACTGTCGCTGCCGGCTGTGAAGGACTTCGTGGGGGAAGGGGGGGGTCTAGGTGGCTTTCTCGCAGAACCGGCACTGACAGCTCTGGACAGGCAGGACTTCTTGGCACCAGCGACAGGCCGAGGTTGCCACACTGACAAGCGGACAAAGGGCTGCCTGGCCAGAGAACACCACAAACGAGCAAAGTCAAGTCAGCTCAGGCAATGGATTGCAGCAGCAAGGTAGGACCGGGCTGGAGAAAGTCGAACATTGGCGGCAAAACCTCCAGCCAAGTGTGGCTCCTCGAAAGCATCGGGGAACCCAACCGCAACATGTCCAGGACCAACAAGGAGAAAGCACTACCCACTCGACCCATGCCAGGTGTCGCAGCCGGTGCACCCACGTGAGCAGAACTTCGCAGAGGCAACAGGGCTCCTACATGTGAGAGTCCCGATGCCAACAATGCTGAGCCCAGGTGCGAACGGCTGCGCAAGAGTAGGGAGAAGCCCAGCTTGGAAACATCTGCCACAGACAAACTGAAGATCGGTTCCAGTCAAGACAGTCCGGACGGTGGTGTTGGAGCCTCCAAACAAGAAAGATCATGGAGCAGCATCACTGTGTCCGGATGAGCGAGGTTTGATGCTAGCGCCGCAGGCTCGGCTCTTGCAACACTCCTCAGGAGCACACTCGACCCCAGGCAAGTGCGATCTGATGCTATCAGCCGAAAGCCCATCGAGGAAGCACCGGACGCAAGCAGAGGGAGACCAAAGCAGCTGAAGCGCCGTGACAGCATCAGGGGTTCTAAGTGAACGAGTTTCAGCGCTGGAACCGCTAAGCCCAGACGAGAAACGCTGTGAGCCAGCACAGGCAAGCCCAAATGACCATGATCGGCTACTGACAGCAAGGACACTGATCCAATCCGCTCTAGACCGTGCAAGCTGTACGTCAGGCCAACGCGACTAGATTGCTGAGGCAACACCAAGGAATCAAGCTGTGCGATTTTCAAAACCGACGTTGCAAAGCCGGTGCGAGCAAGCGACTGCAAAGGTGGGAAGGACCCTGGAGTTGCCGCAGCTACAGCAGGCGGCGAGAAGCAACTGCCAAGACGAGCGATGCCCAGCGAAGATGCGGATGAGCTTGTCCAAGAAGAGCTGCGCAAGAACATGAATGACCCATGCTTGGAAAACCCGAGAAGCACTGGAGAGAAGCCTGCATGTGAGAGGCTTTGCATCAGGAGAGTCGGTCCACAGGCTGCCACATCAAGAAGTAAGAGTCGACTACCCAGACGAGAAGCGGCAAAAACCAGAGCAAAGCTACCTACTTGCCCTGGACTACGCAAGAGCAGCGAAGCTCCAATCCGCGCATGGTTCAGGACTGGCACACAGCTGTCCAGGTACGAAGATGACTGAAGAGAAGGCGGAACACCCAGATCTGCCGAGGCCACAACAAATAGCAAGGACACAGGGCCCATTCTGGCCAGGCCGGTCACGGACACGATAAAGCCTAGGTAGGCCACACTGCGTGCCGACAGAGAAGGGTCCAGCTGAGCGAAGTCCAAGATCAGAGCCTTCAAACCCATCTTAGCAAGAGATCGAAGCAAAGGTAGCGGACCCAAACGGACACTGTCCACCAGCGGCAGGGCAAAGACAGAGCCGACGCGAACAATGCCGAAACAAGACACCAGCACTCCCTTTCGAGCAGGCTCATGCAAAGACAATGACACATCTGCATGCCCAGGAGCCAGGACTGACAGCACTGCATCACATCAAGCGAAGCTTCGCAAGAGCACTAGCAAGTCCACTCTTGAAGAGCTCGGCACGACTGGCGGTGAGTCGAGTCTTGCGAGGCCATTCAAGCTCGCAATGAAGCCCAAGTGCGTGGGAGTTTGCGCGGATAGAAATGGCTCTAGATGCAAGGAGTCGAGGGCCGACATCGCCAGCCCAACCCTGGCCGAGGATCGTGGGGATGAGGAAAAATCGAGTTGCGACACGGCTGCTGCTGGCAAAGAGGATACCAAACCAGCTCGGCTGCAACCCGCAACTGAAGCGGTCGACCCCGACCTCGCAGAGTCTTGAAGCGACAAGGAAGGCCCTAGATGTGAATACTGAAGCGCGGACGCACTTAGCCCCAGTCTCCCGAGGCTTTGCGAAAGCGATGTGCTCTCGAAGCTTAAGGAACCAGGTGCCGAGGCCGCCGGGCCGGGTCTGGCAGGAGACCGAGGCGGCAACGAAGAGCCTAAGGTGCTTCTGCTGCAAACTGAGAGCGCGAAGACGAAGCCTGCACGACTCAAGCCAGACAAAGATGATGTTGATCCACAGCGGAAGGGTGACCGCATTGGAAGAGCAGCGCCTGGATGCCCGCAATCCAGTGCCGAGAGTGCACTGCCTTGCCTTGCGAGGTTTTGGACGAACAAGATTGACCCAACATTCACCAGATCGGGAGTTAACAATGTCGAGCCCGGCCTTGCAAGCGATTTCAAGAACATGGAAGCATCGGGAAGGCACGCATCAAGAACAAGGAAAGAGAAGACGAGCTCTGTCCGGGACAGTCCCACCAAAGGCGCCGAGGACTCTGTCTTCGCGACGCCTTGCGTCAACAAGAGCGGTCCTAGTCGTGCAAAGCCCAAGACGGGAGTCGCGGGCCCTGGCTGGGCGGGCGATTGCAGGAGCATGGAGAATCCGATGCACACATGGTCAGCGACAAACAGAGAGAAAACAGGGCCTGCGCAGGCAATGCCATAGGTAGAAGCCAAGGCAGCCAGGCGAGCCCGACTCCGAAGTAGTACCAGCAAATCAGGGTGAGTGCTTCTGGGAACCAACGTGGTTTCTCCAAGATGCGCGTGTGATCTCAACGGCAAAATGAAGCCAAAAATCACATGGTCCGGAATGGATAATTGCAAGTCAAGTCTTGATTGGCGTGAGGCAGACATGCATGGCCCCACCCGCATAGCTCTTGGCGATGCAATCGGGCCCGCATGCATATAGTTCGATAGTGACACTGCGAGATCGACTTGGCCGAAGCTTTTAGGTAGCAGGAGCGACCCCAAACCGCTCGCGTCGACGGCTGGCAACACGAATACTGAGCCTATGCAAGTTGGGCCCGGCGCAAGAGCAAAGGAGCCAGCTCTCACGAAGCTTTGGGCCGACAATGCAAATTCTCCTCCCATGAAATCCAGGGCCGACACGATCACGTCAGGTCTGGCATATGAACGCAACAGCAGAGGTGTCTCGGGCTGCAGTAAATCTATCACTGGAAGTGCGAAAGCCAAGCCCGGTCGGGACAAGCCAGCTGCAGAAATCGCTGCATCTGCCTGACCCGTAGACCGCAGGGACAGTGACGACCCTGATTCGGCAAAACGGAGTACCGAACATGCTGAGCCAGCTCGGGCAAGACTTCGAAGGGGTGCGGAAAGTCCAGGGTGTGCGCAGTTAGGCACCGATGGGCTTGATGCGAATCGCGAAGCATGCGAGGCAGACAAGGGAAAGCCACAGCACGTAGACTTCCTGGCAGACATGATCAAGTCAGGGTGAAGGAAATCCAACACTAAGGCTGACAACTCCGGGCAATGGTAGCTTCGCAGGGGAGGCAAGAACTCCGTGTGCGCGAAGCCTGGAGTGAGTGCTGTCGCTTCTGCGCATGCAGAAGATCGGGGAAGAAGCAAGGAGTCAAGGTGTATGGTGCTGCACACCGATGACAAGAACACGGAACCAAGCCTCGTCAAGCCCCACGCTAACACTGTGCTGTCTGCTTGCCCAGGACCACGAGGCAGTGTTAGGCTGCCCATTCTACAAGGGCTTGGAACTGGCGATCCGGAGTCAGATCGGCCAAGAGACCGTGGCAACAGCAAGGAAGCGAGACGATTGCTAGCTAAGACAAGCGAGAACAATCCCGGCCTGCCTGGAAACACACTCGACAAGAAGAGACCCGGCCATGCAGAACCCCGCGAGGTTAACGACAAGCCCGTCTCAAAACAGCCCAACACAGGAAGGGCCAGTTCGAGCTTTGCAGGGCTCTTAGGCAGCGCTGAAGATCCAGCGTTCATCCACTCGGTAGCCGGCAGGGAGAAGACAAAGCCAAAACGTCCACAACCCGAGGCCGACAAGATTTTCTCAAGGTGTGCAAGACTTCTCAGAAACATCAAGGAGTCTAAATGCGCGAGGCCGAGGACGAACAGTACTAGCTCTGGCTGCAAGAAAGATCTCAGGGGCATTGCAAAGTCGAGTGTCGACATTTCCATTGCTGGCAAAGCGAAGCAAAATCCAAGCCATGACAAGCCAAGTACGGGCACGGAGACCTCCGTATTCACTAAGTTTTGAAGAGGCAGAACTAGGCTTGAATGAACAGGGCCCGCCGTAAGCACCATTGAGTCGGATCAGCTGAAAGATCTGGCCAAAAACGGTAGCTCCAAATGCGCGAAGTTGGATGCAAAGAGTGAAACTCCCGTCCGTGAGCATCTGATGACGGAGAGTGCAGAGCCTGCGCGCGCCAAGCTCCTCAAAAGCATTGGGAGATCTGGAGTTGCAAACTGCATCACCGGCACAGCCAGGTTCAGTCGTGCGGAGGACCTCAGTGGAAGGGATACCTCGGGACCGGCGACACCAAGCGCAGAAGCAGGAAATCCAGCTTTTGCACACGACCGCGGGGACGGTACTGGCCCCGGTTGAGCCGAAGCTATCACAGGAAGCGGGAACACAGAGCCTAACCATGACAATCCAAGCGGTGGAATTGCGAAACCAGCTCCAGAGAAGCCCTGTGAAGAAGGCAATGAACCCAGACCCATGGTGTGAGGCACTGAGACAGAACTTGCCGCTTGAGTGAGCGAACGAAGCGACAGCATAGCATCCGAGTTTGCGATGCTCGTTGCAAGCGAGGCTAAGTCCAACCGAGCCACTCCCAAGACCGTTGATGTAAGGCCCGTGCACGCCACCGACTGCAGAGCTGCAGTGGATCCCGGATGCGCGTGCTTCGACACGGGGACGGTTGAGTCGATGCGTGCCCAAGAGCGCAGCAGTGAAGGCAAACCGGTGTTGGCCAGTTCTGGGACAAGCACACACAGCGCTGCGTGGGACATACTTCTAAGAGAAAGCGGGAAGTCCAAGTGTACGGCATCGACCACACTCAGCAAGGACACTGATTCGACACAAGCAAAACCAGCAAGCAACACAGGCATGTCTACTTGGCTGAATTGGTGCAAAGGCGACGTGGAATCGACTTTAGCAGGATCTGATGCCGGCGACGCTGACTCAAGGCACAGGCAGCTCCTCAAGGGCAAGAAGAAGCCTGAGTGTAAGAAGTCCACCACAAAGAGGGCGAGTCCAGTCCTTGCAAAGGACTGTGAGGGCAACGCAGATCCCGATCCTGCTCCAGATAGCACGAGAACAGGGGCTCCCAGCCTGGCCCGGCTTTGCAAAAACGAGAAAAACCCTGTGCCAAGATTCTCCGAAACGGACAGAAACGGACCAAGCCTTGAGACGCTCACTACCGAGAGACTGCTGGCAAGCCGTGAAGAGCCTTGCGACGACAAGAGGACGCCCAGCCGTCCAGAGCCCAATGCTATCAGCACAGCTTCCAAGCACGAGCAGCTTCGCAGAAATGCTGAGATTTCCAGGCAAGCCCGATTCGGGACAAAGGGCATCAGCCCAGGGCAAGTGTTGCCAGACAATGGAGCAGAGCTGCCAGCCCGTGCTGAAGACCTCAAGGGCAAAGGCGAGCCGAGCTTTGCAAGGTTCAAAACTGAAGCGACCGAGCCGCAGCAGGAGAACGTGTGAAGAAGCATCGAGCTACCTAGGCGGACACTGTCCAGAACAAGCAAGGCAAAGCCTGGCCGCGACATGCCTGTTGCCAACACCTCGGAGTCCGGCCAACTAAAGCTTCGCGGAGGTGGGCTGGAGTCCGACTTCGCAAGCCCACACACAGACGTCGCAGGGCTTGCTTGAACGAGGCTCCGCGACAACGAAAAGGGCCCGAGATGCGAGCTCCCCGAAGCCAACAGTGCGGAACCCGCACGAGACGCTCCGGACGCAAAAACCGCTGTGTCCAGCCGATTAAACTGTCTCAGAAGCACCAAGAAGCCGAGATGAGCGAACTTGAGAGCCGTAAGCGACAGGCCTTGACACACAAGCGACTGCAGAGGCAAGATTGGGCCAGGATGAGCAGAGCCAGGGGCTGGCAGAGTAGGCTCCACCCTCGATGCTTTGAATGCAAGCAGCATGAGGTCTGTTCGCATGCACTCCCGGAGCAAAGGCAGAAGTCCAGGATTCAGGAGGTCCAGAGCCAACGATGTTGACTCCAAGTGTGCGTAGCTTTGGAGAGATGAGCCTGGGCCGAAATGCCCGCTGTCTGAGGCCAGAGGAGAGTCTCCAGGACGGCTGCAACCTAGAGCAGAGGGAGTGCTCCCTGCTCTTGCGAAAGTCCGCAAAAAAGTGGAAGGTTCTGGCTCCAGAAAGTCGGGTGTTGAAGCCACGGGACCTAAGCATGCAAAGCTTTTCGCAGACGGAGGCAGATCAAAGAAGACCTTGTTCAGAACGGACACAGAGCTCGGCCCAAAGCTGAACTTCCCAGAAGCCGGCAGGACGGAGTCGGTACGAACGAGCATCCGTGCAGAAAGCAAAGGGCCCAAGGTCAAGAGGTCGGGAACAAGTATGAAAACATCGAGGTGAGTGAAGGACCTCACAAAGAGCGCAGGGTCATACTGCACGTAGTCCAGAACAGGCAAGAAGAATTCAAAGTCTACTGTCCGCAAGGCAGGGAATGACAAGCTGGAGCGGGTCAAGCTGCGGCATGAAGCAGGGAAGGCTAGGTGCAAGAAGTCTAGCACTGGAAGTAGGGCTTCTGTGCGACCTGCAGACTGCAGAGAAAGTGAGGGCTCTAAGTTCGCAGAAGCAACGACCGAGAGCAAGGAAACGCTTCCCGGTCTCGACAATCCAAATGCCAGCATGCCACTTCCCGGCTGGTAATGGCTTTGCGGCAACAGCGAGGTATCGAGTTGAAGCATGTCCATGACAAGCGCTACCATGTCTGGCTGAGCGGGCGACCTTGGTGATAAGGAGGGCCCTGGATCAGCAAAGTTCAAGACAGGCGACAGAGGATCGGGCCTGAACATACCCGTGACAGGCAGAGAGCTCGACAGCCGGCTATGTGATCTGAGTGGGACTGTGAGTCCTGGTCGCAAGCAATCCGAGATAAGCGGGGCTGGCTCGCAGCGTGAGGAGCTTTGGGTGAACAGCGAGAATCCCAAATGAAGGGGGTCCAGCACAGACGAAAGGAGCTCCAAGCAAGACACTCCGACGGTCCTTGGTCTGGACTCGCTGACATAAATTGTATAAAAAATCTTTGGTAGACCCTGCGCGATACTCTTGACATGACAGCTGGGCTTTGTCAAGGTGAAGACCACGGTCCAGGACATGGAGCTATGATGCCTGCCCCATCCGGGGCCTTACAATTTCGGGTGCCGGGTCAATTGAGTCTCGCTTCTTGGATTGGCTTGCCCCTAAACCCTAAACCCGAAACCCTTGTGTACGGCACATTTCGACCTCGAAACAAAGAACCCAGGCTCCGGCGAAAGACATGTGCAATCGTGAGTGTAAATTTTGCGTGTTAGCGTCTGGATCCAGGATTCACTGTTGGTCTTACAACGGTCTTGCTGGAAGCCACGAAATTTGTATGCCTGAGTCCTTCTACCGGAATGTGTCTCTGAATCGAAGCTACGCATGACAGTGTCATTGTCTCGATTCTGCATTCCAAGTTTGGGAAGCCTCCTCGTCCTCGCCGCTGAAGTGTCGCACTAAAAACCCGGCTCCATAGTTCATTCTTGAGAGGAGGGGATTCCAGGGAATCGACCAGGACCAACTAAAGAGCTCTTGCAGCTGGGAGGCGGCGCCGCGAATCCATAGCAGCTCACGGTCCGTGAAGATGGCGATGGACCCAGCCGCAAGAGATCCAGCACAGAAGCCTCAGACCCAAAGCGGAGGCTAGCAGCTAGCCATCCCTGTTGAAAGCGCTGGGTTAAGACAAGTTGCTGCGGCATCCGCGCGAACAGGGCTTCGGAGGGGCAAAGCCAATTCTGGATTGCTGAAGCTAGCGACCTCAGATGGGTATAGGGTGGTGCTCTACGCAAACTTTGCAGCTGATCATCGTCCTTGTCGAACCGATCTTCTGATCATCCAAGGGGCCAGCAGCGAGAAGACTGGGCCTCAACGGGATACTCATCTGATCGTACCCAGTGCCCCCAACAAGCGCTGTTGGTCTGACACAGTGCTGAGCTATCGCCCTGTCTCACGATCTGGCAAGCAAAAGCACTCGTGCAAGCAAACAGCAATGCATCCACGGCACCCGGACGTGACATTCCAAACGACGGAGCTGTCGCGTCAACGCGTGAAACACTTCGTAGAGGAAGCGCGGAGTCTGGTTTCAGGAGGTCCTGCTGCCAGTCATGTCACAGCGCCATGGACGCTTTCCAACTCCCGTGACACTTGACAAGAGATTTCTATCTGTAGCCGCTCTGGTCTGGCAAGCAATGCTTTGCTTAAATGTTCAGTACGATGTTGGGCGGCTGTCGAATACAAGAGGATTTGCTGTCACTGCCATGGCGATCGTGGCCTAGGCGCGCCCTGAGATCTGTAGAATCTAGACCGCGGCCGTCCAGAACCAGCAGCAGCAGCTCTGGCTGAGAGGAACTTCTTGCCAGCACCCTCAGCATTGAGAACAGGTAAGCACCTCTATCGTCATTCTGGAGTATCTCAGTATCTCGGTACGACCATCACTCTTGCCCCTAAACTCGACTTGACTGAACCAAAGGCTTTCTATGAGGCGAGCAGCAGCAAACCCAAGCTGGCGAAGTCTGGCGGAGGAAGTAGTGAATCGACGTCGCTCACCTGCATAAATGGGAGTATACGTGTAGTATACAGGACATAGGATCCCTAATATATGTCCCGTCGATGAGCTCTTGTATGCTCTTGTATCAGACGTTCTCCGCTGCAGTCTGGGGCCCTGGCGCCGCAAACCGGAGCGGCCACGCCCAACCGAGCATGGGCCCGCAATGGGAGCGTAGAGCCCAGTCTCAAAGGGTCGGGTGCCTTGGAGCTCAGGATGCGATGGAATACCAGAAAACAGAGAACTTCGGGTTTCGCCCTCGTTCGCCCCCCGCCCTTCTACTTCTGCCGAGTTGCCGGCAGAGCCGAGTCAAGGCAGGCAAGGCTCTGCAACGGAGCCATGAAGCCGCTGTGTGCAGAGTCGGGAGCGAATAGCAAGAGACCCAACCTGCCCAAGCCGAAGACCAACGGCACAGGACCCGAAATAGCATAGCTTTGCAAGAGCACGGCTGCGCCAGCCTTGCAATGGTTTAAGGCTGGCAGAGACAGACTCGATCGACCCGAGCTTCTCAGAAGCAGAACAGGGTCCGAGCAAGCAAAGTCCAAGACCGGCAATGGGGAGCCAGAGCAAGCCTGTGAGCAGGCCGACATGACAGGGCCGCTTTGTCCAGAGCTTCTCGGAAACGGAAGGGGTCCTACGTGTGAAAAACCCAGAGCTGAAACGACCACTCCCGGTTGTGCCAGGCTTCGGGTTGGCAGAAACAACCCGAGTCTGCTACTGCTCACGACCAGCAGAAAGGAGACGAAATCAATGCGCGACAAACCGACGAGCAACACTGCGCTGTCTGGGCGATGGGAGCTTCGGGGCAGTAGCAATGACTCCAGGCGCAAGAGGTCCAGTGCCAGTGCAGATGAGCTAATCTTCCCGGAGCTTCGCAGCAACGAAGCCGAGCCGGGTTGGATGCATCCCGGAGCAAACACACAAGATGCTGGCCTTGACGAGCTCTGCGACGACAAGAACAATCCAATCCATGCAGTTTCGATGACGGACAAAACGAACACCGAGCCCAAGCAAGACATTCCGAAGGCTGGAGCTGCGACTTCGGGCCGTGCATGAGATTGCAAGAACAAGATAAGCTCCAATTTTGCAAGATCCATCGTTGAAGCTACTGATTCAGCGCAAGAGAAGCTCCGAAGAAACGTGAGGAGCTCTGACTGAGCGACTTCCACGAGGGAGAGAGAGAAGACGCTTCCTGCACGAGACAAGCCAAGCATCGCTGAAGGGCTCCCCATTTGCGCAAAGGACCGGACCGACAAGAAGAGTCCTGGCTGAAGAAGGTCCGGGATTGAAAGTGCTGCTTCGGATCATACCGAACTCCTTGACGGCAGCATGAAAGTCATCTGAGAAGGGCCCGGCACAGGCAAAGAAGATCCCGGCTTGGACAAGCCCGGCATTGAAGAAGAGAAGTCAAGACAGCCGAAGCTGTGCAGCAGCGAGGACATACCTACCATCGTAGAATCCGTTGCTAAAAGTATACTGCCTACCCATGAGAAGCTGTGCAAAAACAGGAGAGAGCCGGGACGTGCAGACTCGACTATCGGCAAAAAGAAGAGAGATCCAAGCCTCGCCAGGCCAGCCAGAGGAACTATCAGGCCCACCTACGCCAAGGATCGCGAAAAGAGCGGAAAGCCCAAGGTCAAGAAGTCCAACAGGGAAGGCGAGAAGTCGATCCTTACGAAGCTGTGAATGAGCAGCAGAGACTCCAAATGTGTAGGGTCTGGTGCCAACAGGAGCACGCCAGGTCTCGAGAGTCCGGAGATGGACGAAATGGAGCCCGAGCGTTGCACAGCCCTCGAAGACAGGGCCAAGCCGGTATGACCATATCTCGGAGCTGGGGCTGGCAAATCGAATCGCGCTGAAGATCTCAGGGACGCGAGGGGACCGAGATGGGAGCAGCTCACGACCAAGGGCGAGAACACGAATCCCAGGCAAGCCAACCCGAGCAACAAGCTAGTCAGCCCCATTCGACAAAGTTGTCTTGGAAGCATGAAGAAACCCAGGTTCATGAAATCAAGCGCAGATGGCGGGAAGCCCAAGTGTGCGTGAGTCCTCGCGGTCGACGAGCTTTCGAGGTTTGTGCTTGCCACGACTGAAAGCAAGGAGACGCTCCCCGGCCTTGACAATCCAAAGGCAAGTACCAAGCTTTCAGAGCAAGATGAGCAACGCAAAGGCGTGAAGCTTCCCAAATGCAAGGAATCAAGCACAAGCAGGACTAAGCCAGGTCTGGCGACGCTGTGAAGGAACGAAGGGGCGCCAGAAGAAGAGAAGTCCGAAACAAGGGCTGGGGCTTCTAAAAGGGCCTTGCCAGATACAGACAAGCTTAATCCCAAGCATGCGAGGCTCTTTGATGCTGAGGAGCTGCCTGAGTCAAGAGAATCCAGCACAAACGGGACTGGGCTGACGTGAGAAGGACTTCGAGTCAGCAGAGCTGGTCCCAGTGTGGTCGAGCTCGCGACAGGTGGTGAGGACACGCTCCCAAAACGGCTCAAGCCCGACATCAACAGAGTCAAGCCAGCCCTGGCGTTGCATCGCAGAGGAATCAAAGAGCCCATGCTCAGCAGATCCGGTATTGACAGCGGGCTGCCTGACCGAGCAAGGCTGTGAATCGGTGGCGGTGGACCCGGAAGGCTGCTGCCCGCAACGGACAGCGGGAAGACAGGGCCCAAACAACTGATCCCGACCGGAAATACCAAAGCGTCCAGGCAGTGGACAGTTTGCAGAAGCATCAGGAGATCTGACTTCAAGAAGTCGGGTGCCAAGAAGGAAAAGTCGTGACGGCAAGGGCTTCGAAGTGACAGAAAGGAGCCTGAGGCCAACATGTCTGAGGTTGATGTAGCTGCACCAGCTCAGCTCGTGCTCCGAAGTGGTAACACTGGACCCAGTTCTACTGCATCAGTGGCAGGCAGCGGGGACACAAATCCACAGCGGGTCAATCCCCAAGCGAGCAGGGTCGCTCCCAAACAAGCATACGATCGAGGAGGCAACGAGGCTTCGAAACTGGATTCTTCAAGCAGAAGCAGGACGGAACCCAAACAAGCAAGTGACTTCAAGAAGGGAGGCAATCCTGAGTGCACTCTCCCCAATACAAAGAGTGCGCTACCTGAGCGACCTGCGCCCGGCAAGAAAGGAAATGGCTCTGCTCGGGCGGCGGATTGAAGCAGCAGCGTCAGCCCCGATCGCAAGGAGTCCAAAGCTGACGATGCCGGAGCAACGTGACTCAAGCTTTGCAGGAACAGAGAGCTTCCCAGCACAGCGCTGGCCACCACAGGCAAGCTGAAAACAGGTCCAGCGCAGCTTGATCCCAGCAAAGATGCTGGGGGCCCAAGTTGACCAAGGCTACGCGTAAGAAGCGGAGCCTCCGCATGGTAGAGGTCCCATGCAGAGGTTGCGGCTTCCACACAGCCATGCGATCTCGAAGGCGGGGAGAAGCCAAAATGGGCTAAATCCGGTGTAATCAGGTTTGCATCCGACCAGCTGGGGCTCCGCATCAGCAGCGTGAAAGCGATTTGCACATAATCTGCCGCAGGCAGGACCGGCTCGAGCCGCACGACGCTTTGCAGAGACGGAAGCAGGTCCAAGCAAGACGAGGCCGCCACAGAAAGAGAGAAGAGGAAGTCCAAGCGGCTGAGCCCTGCGACGGGTGCGGAAAGCTCGGGTCTGCTAAAGCTTTGTGGAAGCACAGATGGCCCCATGTGCAAAGAGTCCAAGGTAGACAGAAACACACCGACTCTGGCAGAGTTTCGCACGAACATCACCAGGCCGGCTGCTATGTAGTCCGGCAAGAGCAGAAGCGAGCCCGCCCTTACCATGCCAGAAACGGGTAGCACCAAACCCAGTCTGGCGGAGCTCTTCGGTGGCAGCAGTGGGCTTGTGTGCCCGGAGTCCGGGACGAACAGGATTGATGCGGGATGGGTATATGATCTCAGAGCCAGGGCGAGCCCCAGGTGTAAAGGGTCCAAGACAGAAAGCAAAGCTCCAGGTCGCGCAGCTCCCATCACCAGCGAAGTGAAGTCGAGGCGAGCCGATTGCTTCGGAGATGGGGAAGGCTCCAAACGCGTCGCACAAAGTGCGAAGACTGCAGAGCTTGATCTTAGACAACTTCGTGAAAATGGCTGGAAGCCCGGGTGGCCAGATTCAATCACTAGGAGCGAGAACACGAAGCCCGAATGAGAGATCCCTGGCAGAAACGTCAAGGCTCCAAGCTGCGAAAACGAGTGCATCGGCGTTACCAGGTCCAAGTGAGCAGAGCTCAACGCAAACAGAGCCAAACCCAAGCATGCAGGGCTTTGCGAAGACAAGAGCGGCCCCAAGTTGATGCGATCCAATGCAGCGAGAGATGATCCCGACCTTGCCACGGTTAAGAGCAGCAGTGCGCTACCCAAGCAGCCAAGGCTGTGCAAGGAAGTCAAGGGCGCAGACTGTACGGGGTCTGGCACCAGCGAAGACGCTTCCAGACGAGACAGCCCACATGCAGGAAATGTGAGAGCCAGTCGGCCGTAGTTTCTCAAGAGCGGAATCAGTCCCAGGAATGCAGATTCCATAGTTGGCGCGGTGCTGCCCAAACAAGCACGGCTGTGCAACGACGTCATCAGCTCAACTTCCGCAGGATCTGAAGCCAACAAAGTGAGGCCAAACCCTGCAACTCTCAGAATCGGAAGAAGTGAACTTGGCCGCGAAGGACCTCGCAAAAGTAACGGGAGATCAAGATGCAAAGAGTCCGGGACTGGTGCTACCGGGCCGGTGTGAGCATGAGCTCGAAGTGGCATCGACACTCCTGGGCGCAAAAGGTCCAGTACAAACAAGCTAGAATGAAAGCGTGTCATGCCCGGGACAAGCATGGCCAAACCCAGTTGCGCAGATCTTCTCGCAGGGACTGGAGGATCGATTTTAATGAAATCAACTAGCGACGGTGCCAGACCGAGGTGTCCTGAGCCTCGCAGCACCGAAGGTGGGCTTGTGTGCACGAGATCCGCAGCCGAAAGGGGAGCTTCGAGATGCACGGAGCTCCGGGGAAGCAGTGCAAGCCCCAAAGCAACAATATCTGACGCCGGCAACAGAAGGCTGAACTGAGAGATTCCCGTGATCGAAGCAGCTAGGCCCGTTCGGGCAGGACTTTGCGGAAGCGTCAGGAAGTCCATATGCAAGAAGTCCAGCGCAGACAGCAAGATGCCCAAACAAGCCGAGGAATGCAGAGGCGACACGGAGCCGAACTTCGCCCAATCCGGGACCGGCAAGAAAGGCTCGAACCTACTCCGGCTAAGAACCGATAGGTTCTCATGGAGAAACCCACTCGGAAATTTAATATCTCCAGATGCTGATGACAGAAATCCCGTTCGGGTAAAGCCCTGCATCGGCAGGGTCAGCTCGATGTGCAAAAAGTCTAGGGCAGACGGCAGAGGAGCCATCCTGGCAGCACTTCTTGCAAGAGTAATCGACTCCGCTTGAGCGAAGTCGAGAAGCGGCAGGCTCAAGCCCAGCTGCAGTTTGCCCATGACAAGGAGAAAGGACCCGGGCCAACCAAAGCTGCGAAGGGCCGAAGATGCAGCTGAATGGGCGAGGTCCAAGACAAACGCCAGCGGCTCTGAACACAACATCCCTGCAACAGGCAACAGCAAGCTAATCCGCCCAAAGTGGTGCAGAGGAGGCGTGGAGTCCAGGTGAAGGGAGTCTGGAACCGGTGCCAGGAGGCCCAGATAAGCGAGGCTTCGCATCGGAAGCAAGGGCCCCAAACAACCAGAGTCGGGCGCTGCAAGTGGCGATCCGGGCCGACCTCCTCCCAGAACTGGCATAGAAAATGACAGTCGTGAAGATGAGCGTAACAGCGCTGATGGACCAAGATGCAGGAAGTCCAGAGGAAACGCAGCAAGCCCCACGCGACAAGTGCTTCGAATCAGCAAGAAGCTTTCCAGTGCCAGCATGTCAAGGATGGGCACTGCCTGAGTGCAAAGTGCGAACGAACTGTGAACCCTTCACCGTCTGTGGCTTAGCAAGACCTATGCAGAGAGACAGAGAGAGGACGAGAGACAGAGAGCGACGAAGAGAAAGCGAGAGAGAGACAGGCAGACAAACAGACAAGCAGGCAGGTAAGCAGCTACACCACACTCTATCTATCTATATATCTCTATCTATCTATCTATCTATCTACCTACCTACCTACCTATCTATCTATCTATCTATCTATCTATATATATAACTATGAGCGTAATAACAATGTATAATGAATGTCAGGCAGGCAGACGCCGACTTGCCAAGATACGAGCTCCACTCACGCCAAACTTCGAGTCAGCGTTGGTAATCCCGGAGTAACGAAATCCTCGCTGGGCTGCGACTGCAGGCGGTGCCGTGTTGGGACTGCTGAGACATGTTCAATGCTTGTCTCAACCGGATCGTATGTATGTATGTATGTATGTCGTGCATGTGCACATCTACAGGACAGCACTGGGTGCGATTTGCACCTAGGTGTAGTAAAACACCCACCAACCATCCTTTCAGACCGACCGGCCGAAAGACCGACCGACAGAAACAACAACAAGCGAACACACACACACACACTTAGGCATCCATCGCGC